ACAAAACCCAATATGCACTTTCGAAAAAGAGAGAGAGTAGTATTCGAATTTCTGGTTTTTATTTTATTTTTCATTTTTTATTTATTTTTAACGTACAAAATGACCATTTTGCCTTCATATTTAACGGCAAATTAGATGAAACGTTGCGGATTTAGACGGTAAGGGGGAAATTGGAGAGATAGAAAAACTTCATATCCTTAATTTTCTATTTTAAAAAAAAAAAGATATGAGGTGAATCGAAAGTTAGATACAAGTTCAGAGAACAAATCACCAGTTTTGAGACACGGTTGGAAAAAGAGGATCTGATTTGCATTGTATTATTATATATGGAGGTCCCTGCTCTCATAGCAGTACACGTTCTAAAATACCTAGTCCTATTTTCTAGTTAAAGCATTCAGTGCTGAAGAGAGTATAAACCTTCCTCATGTAAGATTCATTCTTATACTCTTAGTTGTTATGGTTTGATTCATACAGTGAGTATAGTTCTTTGCATGAATGACCATCTTATCAAGGTGGGTTCAGAAAGCAACGAAGGAGGAGGTACATGCATAATGCTATGATTCCAAAAAAAAACAAAAAAAAAACAAACATGTGCTAAATCAGGTCATATGTTTGATCCTAACGTACTATGGATAGGTTCGCAAATACTTTGAAGCCAGAATCCTAGTTCTAAAACCCTAACATGGTAACCTTAGATAGGTCGAGTCCAACCTAGAGTCAAAACCCTTTTGATATTGGATTACTTTATGGGCTTCTTTATTGGGTCTTTTTCTTCTCTTTTTGTGCTCTTGGTGTCTTACAAAGATTTGGTATGTATCAACATTAGACATATACTATATTTAAATTGAAAAACTCTTTCTTTTTCTTTATATATTTTGCTGGATGCTCTGAATAATTAATAGAAAGAAACTTGAACATTAAAATATAATAAAGAAACAATTACTTACACAAATAAAAACATACTAAGGAAACAAAAAAAATATCGACGACACACACATGTGTACATAAATCATCTGAATTATGAGCACCAATAGTAATAGGCACCCGTCAATAGTCCAATTTAAAAAAGACATGTACACAAGAAATAAAAACTAGTGATTAGTCAATGGGGTCTAGTCAAGTGAAAAAAGACATTGACTTACAGACCAGTAGTCTTAAGTTTAAATCACTATAGCACATTGTATTGTGTGTGTGAAAACACTCATGACTAGTGGCAGATCCAACCCTAAACCCTATGTTTATATTTTTTTGTTACATATAGGTTGTAGCATGTATTAACTATTAACCTCTTAATTAACTCTAAATAGATTAATTTTTGTAACAGTCATGAAAAAGAATTTTAAATGAAAATCAGTGCTGGAGTCGTAAACTCCTTTAGAGGTTGGTAGTTCAAAACAAAGTAATATGGAAGTCAATGTGGCATATCTTCCTTTAGATCATGGATTACGAACTCGAATTTTAGATTACAATATATTCAAGATCAAATCTAAAGAACATATCTACAAAAGGGTCCATGTCGACCTAGAAGTCATATATTCCCTTTTAAGAAATTTGGAAATGGTTAACAACGGTTCATCTCTTCTTGGTTTGATGATTTTCCTAATTGGTTGGAATATAGTGTATAAAAAATTTTTGCATTTTGTTTATATTGTTATTTATTTAAATCAAATAGTGGAGAATAAGGAAGTGGTGACGCATTTATTGGTGAAAGATTTTCAAATTGGAAGGAGAGAAAAATATTTGCAGTTTAGTTCAAGCAACCAAGGAAACTTTCTTGAGCTTTTACAATTCCTTTGTTATCACCATGAACAAGTTAGAGCAGTAACATTGAAAAATTCTCATGACAACCTTAAGTTGATATCACCAAAGATTCAAAAAGACATTGTTAATGTTGCTTCAGTTGAAACAACTGATGCTATTATAAGTGACATGGGTGATTCCTAGTTTTCTATTCTTGTTGATGAATCTCGTGATGTATTCATAAAGGAACAAATTGTTGTTATGTTTCGTTATGTTGCCAAGAAAGGGTATGTGATTGAACGTTTCATTGGTATTGAACATGTGGCTAATACAACATCTCTCGCACTGAAGACATCAATATCAATGCATTATTTGCTAGACATCATTTAAGCATATCTCGATTGTGTGGTCAATGTTATGATGGAGCTAGTAATGTGAATGGAGAGTTCAATGGTTTGAAAACACTTATTATGAAAGAGAATCTATGTACTTTTTATGTTCACTGATTTACTCATCAACTTCAATTGGCCCTTGTGTCTTTGGCAAAAAACTATAGCCTGGTGCTTTCCTTACCTTAGTTTTCTAAATATTGTTGGGGAATCATCATGATATTTTGACATTCTACGTGAAAAACAAGCTCTCAAAGTTATTGAGGCACTTAGCAATGACTAGCTCTTAAGTGGACAAGGCTTGAATGAAGAAATTGGAGTTAAAGGTCCATATGATGAATCAAGAAATTGGAGTTAAAGATCCATGTGATACTTGATTTGATGGGGCTCAACCTATGGTACTTTGATTAACTTTGTTACCATGTTTTCATCTAATTGATGGATATAGGAAATTTCATATGATAAAGTGGGCACTAATCAGAAACATGAAGCATTTATTATGTTAGGGTTGCTTAAATCATTTGATTTTGTGTTCAGTTTGCAATTGATGATGATTATACTTGGAATTACAAATGAGTTATCGTAATCCTTACAAAGGGATCACGGAGAATGGCATAAAAAATTAAAATTTTGCATTACTATCGTGTTGTTCTTTTCTATGATGTGGTAGATTTGCAACTTCAAAAGCTAAGGAATCGTTTCACAGAGGTCAACACTAAGTTGCTACTTTGCTTGACATGCTTAAGTCCGAATAATTCATTTTTTGCTTACGCCTTTCTGAACTCTACCCAAGTAATTTTTCTATTGATCAACTCATGGCACTTGAAATTCAATTTGTGAATTATATTGATGATATGCATTCCAATACAAAGTTTCAAGAATTGAACGGAATTTCTAATCTTACAAAAAAAAAAATTAGTTGAGACAGGAAATCATAAAGTATATTCATTAGTGTATTTACTCATAATATTGGCATTGGCACTTGCAATTGCTACAACTTCTGGAGAAAGAGTATTTTATGGTATGAACTTTGTTAAGAATTGGTTGCGCAATCGAATGGGAGATCAATGGATGAATGATAGCTTGGTTGTATATCTTGAGAAAGACATATTCAATGAAATTGATAATGAGCTTATTGTACAACGTTTTCAAAACATGAAACTCGTAGGGGACAATTGTAAATGTATTGATTTACCATGTTATCAATTTTTAAAGTCTCTTGAATTTTTGCACTTGTGTCTCGTATTTTATCTTTGTTATGCCCACACATAGAAAAAATATTGGGTTCGCCACTGCTCATGACATCTAGACTATATCACTTGTATCTTTTTTTAAAAGTAAATTTAGCTTAACCTCTTGAAAGTCATTTTTCCTCAACTTTACAACCCATCTCTTTATTTTTGTATGAATAAAATCCTGTCTTTTCTAAAGTGCAAAATCAAATTTATTGTACTTTTTTTATTCTTAACATACCCCCAAATAAGCAATTATTTCATGGGAGACTTTGGAAAAACACAAAGGAGAGAGAAATTTTGTAAAACAAGCAAAAATAGACAAAATTGCCCTTATTTATTTTTGGATTTCCTAAGGAATCTTTTACATTTGCATGTCTTTGATTTGAAAGTTGAGAGGTTTTTCTGTCTTTTTTGAAAAAGCTTTGGCTTTTTCCAAAAGTGAAAATTTTTTTTTGGCTAAAACCTAAATTTACTTTATTTTTCATTTTGTATATTAATGTAGGAACCAATATAGAAACAAATTTTAATTGGATTGTAACTAATGACACACGTTCAATTTGGAAAGATCTCCAAATGAATGTAGATCTTTATTTGTGAAAGGCATAATTTGTAAATAAATCAACTTATATGGACAAATGTTATCATAACGTAAAATTGAGTTTTATTTAAAGATTGTATTATTGGTGGATTATTGTCTAGAGTTTTTAAATTATTATAAAGCCCTATTTTAGTATGACACTAAAAAAAATAGTGATTAAATTTGAACACATTATTTTTGTAATTGGATTGTACTGCCAAGTGAAGAAGTTTTTGCCGCTAGGTATAAATTTAGAAGCAGAGTCGCCAAACCTAACGCCTACCATTCACGGGACACATGCAATGCTTAAGGTGAAGGTGATGAGGGAGGCTTATTAATGGCTGGACTGGAAAGCAATAATGATATGGAGCTCTTGTGAATGACAGCATGTAATGGAGTGGGATTGAGATTGGTTCCATTTTCATAACAGTGCATGTAAAATCAGCGGTGCATATTTGGTGAGAAATTAACTCGGTAGATGATATTAGCCCACGATCATCAGTCGTGTCATGTCCAGTCCAATAATTAATCTGGCATGTTCTTTACACCTAATTTGTTTGGTTAGATAGTCTAGATTGGCTGCTTCTTTTTATTTATTTATTTTCTCTAACTAAACTAGCCGATCATCGTCTTCATTTAGGTTCGTCAAACTACACAGTTTCTGTGTCACTCTACCTACCACGGTACCCCCCCAAATTATTGTTATTATCTTTATCAAAACCAATCCTACCAGTCGGATCAGAAACAACAGAAACAATAAATTCTACTAGGACTATGAAAACATGTTACTGAGAGCCCTAAATTGAATTGAATGAAAAGATGTTGATGACACTTTCCTGCCCTTTGGTTTGTTAGGTAAGACGAGAGAACACACGCATTCCAAATCATGCAGATTTTAGTAGGCAACACACACCACACAGAAATGCACGTGCCAGCAAGGCCCTTCCGTCCTTTGGTGGTTAAGCCCTTCTAACACAGGAATTGGTCAGGCACGTGATACCTAGCTACCTCTCTTTCACCTTTTTATATAAATATAACCGCTTCTCTTAACATTTTCTCAAACTTACTTGCCATTACAACTGTAAACACACAACACCACCACAACCACAACCAGCTCCCAGCCTCCTTGACCTTTCTTGACGATCGGAGAAAATGGTGACCGTCGAGGAAGTTCGCAAGGCTCAGCGGGCAGAGGGTCCGGCCACAGTCTTGGCCATTGGGACTGCAACTCCTCCCAATTGTGTTGATCAGGCCACCTACCCTGACTACTACTTCCGTATCACCAACAGTCAGCACAAAACTGAGCTCAAAGAAAAATTCCAGCGCATGTGTAAGTACCAATATCTTCTCCTTTTTTTTTTTTTTTGAATACATGTTCCAGATATATTACTGCAAGGTGTTTTTAATTTGAACGTACTGTAATATATATGGTTTAGCCTTTATGCATGATATAGTTCCATATCTGTGAATATAACAAAATGGGAATTCATTTTGTTCAGTCATCAGAGTGGCAAACAATCTTTTCTTTTGACTTTTTTATCTGTGTTCAAATGGAGTGAAACATTAGGGAACTGTTTACGCTTTTTTTCAGGTGACAAATCAATGATCAAGAAGCGTTACATGTACTTGACTGAAGACATTCTAAAAGAGAACCCAAGTATGTGCGAGTACATGGCACCTTCCCTCGATGCCAGGCAGGACATGGTGGTTGTTGAAATTCCAAAACTCGGCAAAGAAGCTGCCACCAAGGCCATTAAGGAATGGGGCCAGCCCAAGTCCAAAATTACCCATTTGGTCTTTTGCACCACCAGTGGTGTGGACATGCCTGGGGCGGACTACCAGCTCACCAAGCTCTTGGGCCTACGCTCATCCGTCAAGCGCCTCATGATGTACCAACAGGGATGTTTTGCCGGCGGCACGGTGCTCCGGTTGGCCAAGGACTTGGCCGAGAACAACAGGGGTGCCCGTGTTCTCGTTGTGTGCTCGGAGATCACAGCGGTCACCTTCCGTGGGCCCAATGATACCCACCTTGACAGTTTAGTGGGCCAGGCCTTATTTGGTGATGGTGCAGCAGCTATTATTGTGGGTGCGGACCCAATTCCGGAGATCGAGAAGCCCCTGTTTGAAGTGGTGTCAGCAGCCCAAACCATCCTTCCCGACAGTGATGGAGCCATCGACGGACATCTCCGTGAAGTTGGGCTTACATTTCATCTGCTCAAGGATGTTCCCGGGCTTATTTCGAAGAACATCGAGAAGAGTCTGAACGAGGCCTTCCAACCTTTGGGCATCTCGGATTGGAACTCACTATTCTGGATTGCACACCCAGGTGGCCCAGCAATTCTTGACCAAGTAGAGTCCAAATTAGCCCTGAAGCCTGAGAAATTAGAGGCGACAAGACACATACTATCTGAGTACGGAAACATGTCCAGTGCCTGTGTGCTATTTATTTTGGATGAGGTAAGGAAGAGGGCTACCAAGAAAGGACTAAAAACCACAGGAGATGGACTGGATTGGGGTGTGCTGTTTGGGTTTGGACCAGGACTCACTGTTGAGACCGTGGTGCTTCACAGCGTGGGCCTGAATGCTTGAAGCCATCATCAGCAACATCCGTGTTGTTGAATTTTATGCATCTGCTTCGTTGGTGTATTATGGATTGCTTCTACTTTTCTGGCTAGTTTTCTGTGTTTTTGGATGTTGGAAACGTGTGTGGACAATGGGCATCATGGGGTACACTATAGTGCAGTGGTTGTGTTTACTTTCATGCTGCTTAGCTTGCCACATCGGTGTTTCTGACCGAAAAAAAAAGCTTACGGCATCGGTGAAATCAAAAAGGAACCATGTAACGACTTACATATTGATGAATAATATATATGTTCCAAGCAATTCATGCCATACTAATGTTTTATATTGTAGCCACTTGAACTTCTTTTGATAAATTATTGTAGCCAAAGGAGAGGCTATATAAGTTAACATGTAGTCAAAAATGATTTCAGATTCAAGTAATTTTTTACTGATAATATCTCTTTGTAACTCACTTGATTATTTTTCATGAATAGGATCAGATTTTAAAACATACTCAATATGGAATGGCCTTGATAATTTCATGATTCCAAAACCTTCGTTTAACGTTATTATCTAGAGCACTCTGTCTTTTGCAGTCGATAATTAATAGATCACTGGAAGACAATGAGCAAATAATTACGTATACCAAAACAAATACAAGAAAAAGAAATATCTATGATGCACACGTATGTATGCAACAAGTTAACATGTAGTCAGAATTAGTCACCATCCAATCGACAGTCCACTTTGAAAATGACATGTATGTAAGAAATAAAAACTATATTGGGAACTCGAGTATACATTTCCAAACAGAACACGTTTTCTCTCATGCCTTACATGTCGGTTTTGTGGCCCCTGACGGTCAAATCGTTGATGCCTTTTCTAAAGGGACAAATGTTTGGCTCCTTACGCAAGATGTAGACCTCTTAAAATGCGATACGTGTTTGGCTCTTGACACAAGATGTAGTCTTCTTAAAACACGACACGTATTTTTTTTTTTCTTCACTGACTCTCCCTCTCTCTCTCTTCTCGCCCACTCTCATCACTCAAACACTACGTATTAATTTCTCTCTTTTTTAATTTTTAATTTTATTGAGTTATTTATTGGGGAGTTCTAGAAATTTTGGGAATGGTGAAAGAACAAGGTACAACTTGGGGGATAAAAAATTTCTCCAGTATCACTATCTCGCCTCCAGATCTGAGTTGCACGGAAAGTGATGGAGAGATAAGAGAAGATAGAGCATGGGAGGAGAGGAGAGGCGAGTAGGTGAGAAGAGGGAGAAAGAGAGAGAGACAGTGAAAGTAAAAAAAACAGGTGTTACTTTGTAAGAGGCCACATCTTGTGTTAATGCGGAAATCAGAAGCCAAGCATTGTCCTTTCTAAAGGGTAGTCCTTGCCTCGTTCTTTATCTCCAAACTTGGTGTTGTTCTCTCCCATTTACTTTGTTGCGGGGGTGATAAACTAACCTATCCAATTATAATTAGGGTGCTGCGCAGAGTTCGATATACCAGCTCTCTTGTGCTTGAAAATGCAGCAAAATAACTTCTCGATGATGATGGAAGTTTAAGAGGGGATAATGAAGATGAATCCTTATCATTATTACCATGGAAAACTAGACTACAATTACCCTTCATTGCGAGGGCTGGGGATGGTTGTGGTCTTGATTATATCATTGATTGTAATTGATTGTAAATTTATTTACTTACCAAATGTATCCAGCGAGTAATTATACACAGGGGTAAAGTGCCCAAAACCTCCCTGAAATATAACGCTTGTCGAAATGTCTATCATAAATTATTTTTTCAGTCAATTTAGTCATTGTAATAAATTTTATCGCCAATTTAACACCTGCGTCAAGTTTCTACACTTCCATCCATTTTTCCGTCAATTATAAGGGTAAGCTTGTCATTTTACAAAGTACAATATTAAAAAATATATATGAAAAATGTGAAAACAAAAACAAACAAAACATGCCCTCAGCGTGGCCTCATCTTCATGGTCCACAGCTACGACAACGAAATCTGCTGGACCTTCCAAGCCACCCCAATTTTCCTTGCCCAATAGGGTTTCGCCTGCTTCACTCTCGACCTCGAAGGCCACAGCCAATCCCACGGCCTCAGGGCCTTCGTCCCCGGCGTCCATCTCGTGGTCCAAGACTGCCTCGCTTTCTTCACCTTGGTCAAGCAGCAAGAACCCCAATTTCTAAACGTCCCCTATTTTCTCTACGGCGAGAGCGGCACCATTTGCCTTATGATCCACTTCAGGGTGCCGGAAGCTATTCAAGGGGCGATTTTGGTGGCACCCATGTGTAAACTTTCTGATAAGGTGAAACCCAGGTGGCCAATTCCTCAAATTCTAACGTTCATGGTCAGATTCTTTCCCAGCTTGGCCATTGTGCCCATCGCGGACCTCATGTACAAGTCTGTGAAGGTGGGGAAGACGTTGATTGCTAGGTTTGTTTAATTATTTTTTGTTTGTTTAAGTTGCCTAAGCAACAAGAGGGATATGGGAATCGAGTAACGTCGGGCACAAGGTAAGAGAGTCAGTATCAGATCCGGTGGACTCCATTCTTTTCTGTCAAGGGAGGAAACCTTGTTTGATTGTCAACAGCTTTTCAGGCAAGAGTTGTCTTTTGAAACCTCTACCTCTTCGCTTTTTCAGTTTTTAAAGGTTTAATTATTTTTAACAGAAAATTGGATGAAACTACATCGAAACTGACCATGGGCTAAATTGACCATTTAAAATAGTCTAATGGTTAAATTGGCTAAAAAAATAATTCAACGTGGACATTTCGACAAGCGTTATAGTTCATGGGGGTTTTCAGAAGTTTATCCTTATACATATACAATTGTGCCTCGCTGTGTAAGTTTGAACAACAACTTTTCTATTATCTTTGCGCATTTGCTAGTGTATGTGTGTGAAAAATCCATTTTTCCTTCGTAATTTAGACTAGTGCTTGTATTAAAAAAAAAAAAAAAAAGAGGAAAATGTTAGGGAGACCAACTTTGTACCATCTCTTTAATAGAGGTGAGACCCATTGTATTAATGGGCTCCACCTTTATTAGAGAGATAATACACAAGTTGGTATCTAAAGATGGTCTCCTTAGCATGACTCTAAAAAAAATAGTGACCAACAAAATAGGGAAACATGGTGCTTCAAGAAATTACTAAAATGACGTCCATTAATTGAGTGATCAAATGGATTCAAATTCAAGTTTTATATATGTAATTTCGACCATAGTCAGATTATCATCATAATCCATCTTTGGAAAGAAAAAAAAAAAATCATTGAATTTAACATCATGGTGAGCTATATATAGCTAATTTATGTCGTCAAATGAATTTTAGAGTATTTTTTAGTAAACATACATCTTTTTCTTTTCTATATTCGGGTTCATATCCAACTAAGCACCCATTGTGTGTCACTATGCCAACCACGATACCACTACAAATTGTTGTTATTATTTTCCATTTTCAAATTTATATTTATCAAAACCAATATTCCAACCCGTTAGATAAGAAAAAAAACAAGAAAATAATATAATTTGGGACTACATGATTAAATCCTGCATTCACCGACATATTGAATTGATAATAAATTAAATGAAAGTTGTTGATGATATTTTGGTTTGTTAGGTACAACGTGAGAACAAGCACATTCCAAATCATGCAGATGTTTCTAGGCAACACATACCACACAAAAATGCACGTGCCAGCAAGGCCCTTTTAGCCTTAGGTTGTTGAGCATTTACCTTTCTAATAAAGGAATTGGTCAGGCACGTGATACGTAGCTAGCTACCTCTGTTTCACTTATTTTATAAATACAACCGCTTCTCTTAACATTTTCTCAGACTTACCATTGCAACTGTAAACACACAACACCACCACAACCACAACCAGCTCCTAGCCTCCTTGATCTTTCTTGACGACCGGAGAAAATGGTGACTGTCGAGGAAGTTCGTAAGGCTCAGCGGGCAGAGGGTCCGGCCACAGTCTTGGCCATTGGGACAGCAACTCCTCCCAATTGTATTGAGCAGGCTACCTACCCTGACTACTACTTTCGTATTACCAACAGTGAGCACAAAGTTGAGCTCAAGGAAAAATTCCAGCGCATGTGTAAGTACCAAAATCTTCTCCTTTGTTTTTTTTTCTTCTTATCTTTCTTTGAACATGATCCGTAGGCAATTCCTTGTTTAATTCCAGGAAAAAGGATATCATGTATATCTGCAAGGCGTTTGATAAATTTTCACTTTTTTTATTTTGGATATATGCATGGCTCAGCCCTCGTGCATGATATCTGTGATGTGAAAATGACAAAATGGGAATTCAGAAAAAACATTACGAGAATTTGAATACAAACAAAACAAATGTCACAATTATTATTTTCCTTTCATGTGATAGTGAGTTGCTTTAATTTCATATCGTACTCGGCGTCTGCAGCAGTTAGGTGTACCATTTTAATGCAAGGTTCAAGTACTTTCTGGCCTGATGAACATAGTAATTGGGAAAAGGACACCACCAATTGAAACAGCCTTTGCAGCAGCAGTGGGCCATTTTAAAGCTGCAAACAAATTAGTTATAAATCGTAGTCATGCGCAGTCCTCAAGACGAGCGTAACTTTTCTGTTTACGCTTTTTTTCAGGTGACAAATCAATGATCAAGAAGCGTTACATGTACTTGACTGAAGACATTCTAAAAGAGAACCCAAGTATGTGCGAGTACATGGCACCTTCCCTCGATGCCAGGCAGGACATGGTGGTTGTTGAAATTCCAAAACTCGGCAAAGAAGCTGCCACCAAGGCCATTAAGGAATGGGGCCAGCCCAAGTCCAAAATTACCCATTTGGTCTTTTGCACCACCAGTGGTGTGGACATGCCTGGGGCCGACTATCAGCTCACTAAGCTCCTGGGCCTCCGCCCGTCCGTCAAGCGCCTCATGATGTACCAACAAGGGTGTTTCGCTGGCGGGACGGTGCTCCGGTTGGCCAAGGACTTGGCCGAGAACAACAGGGGTGCCCGTGTTCTCGTTGTGTGCTCGGAGATCACAGCGGTCACCTTCCGTGGGCCCAATGATACCCACCTTGACAGTTTAGTGGGCCAGGCCTTATTTGGTGATGGTGCAGCAGCTATTATTGTGGGTGCGGACCCAATTCCGGAGATCGAGAAGCCCCTGTTTGAAGTGGTGTCAGCAGCCCAAACCATCCTTCCCGACAGTGATGGAGCCATCGACGGACATCTCCGTGAAGTTGGGCTTACATTTCATCTGCTCAAGGATGTTCCCGGGCTTATTTCGAAGAACATCGAGAAGAGTCTGAACGAGGCCTTCCAAC